CAGTAAGGAGTTCAATCAAGGCTGGTTTTTTCGTATTACTTCTCCATATTCTGCTTCCTGAGAGTTTTTATCAGCCTTTTATCTCTAATCAAGTGTTTTATTTTTCTTACTCTGGTTTTCATCTCAAGGAGAGAGTTTTCCTGCACAACATTTTCTGATGTTAGTGCCACAAAATAATGCAATCTCAATCTGCCCATGATCTAACTTTTGTGGGAGACTTTTTGGAAACACCCGGAAGAACGAAACAGATAAAAATGGAATTCACAAAATGTTAATGAATGAACAGATTTTCTCAAACCAATGAAGAGAGGTGAAAGGATTATGTGTTTTTTTTTTTTAACCTGCACCTTTTCCGTTTCCACAGGACTCTGTTGGATGTGGATACGTTCTCCAAGTTAGATCCTGGTAAGTTTTCAGCCTTTTACTGTCTGAAATGCTCATTTTTGATTTTCTTTATACATACATTTTACTTTATAAATACTGCGAGATGCATTCGTTGTAAATTTTTTTTGTACACCGGCATTCTTCCTTACCGGCAAGAAAAAGCATTAAGATGTAATGAATGTTGTTCCATTCTCCTCTGGCTTTTAGTAAATAACTCTGAAGGTCAGAGCTTTCAGTGGGTGGCAACAAGGGTGATACAATACAACAGTGGAAAGGCAGAATAGAGAACAAAGACAAGACTAAGGAGGGCTGGAAAAGTCAAGGTTGAAGAAAGGTTGTGACGTGAGGCTGGCTGAGCTGCAGCACGTTGGACGGCAGGAAGACGATGGGACTGGAATTAAGAGGAGAATGTCAGGGTTTGGTCCTGAGCTGTGGCTGAAGGAGCATTCACTTGAGTAAAAGTACCAATACAGCAATGTAAAAACACTCCATCCTACATGAAAAACTCATGTGACTATGAGCAAACTATATGTTAGCATTAACGTACCAGTACTGGTTCCTCTGACTGATATATGATTATACAAGACTCGATTGGAGTATTATTAGAGAAGCATCAGAGTGTCAGCAGCAGGTTAATGTTGTCGCTGCTGCAGGTGGAGCTATTTTAAACTACTTCATATACAGGTTTTACATACAGAGACAGCAATACATCTGAGGAAGTGTGATTAATGGGAGAGGAAAGACGAGACATTGTTGGACCTTTTTCTAGTATTTTTTCGGTGACTTATTAGCTCATTTGAACCATGTGAGAAGTTTAGAGGCAGAAATCACAGACTCCTGAAATGTTAACCTGGCTACACATTATGTTCTGTAGGAAGCTATAACTATATATAAAAGTTAAAAGAAACTACCTGAGTAGATTGTACTTAGCTAATGGTTTCCTCAGGGAAGGATGCTTCTTTTGTGCAGAGTTCTGGAGTAGCGAATGTTGAACAGGTAAACTGTGCTCTAGCAGTGGTGTCTGCTTGCTAATCAGATGGAGGACTACCTGTCCTTATTGTAGCTGAAAATAGGTCTTTACGAGCGTCTGTATGTTCGGACCGCAGAATGAATCTGTGATGATGACACGTTTGGCTGACGGTGATGGATAAGAGTGGAAAAAGTCTGCCTGCATTTGTTGTATGTTTGACAGGAAACGTCCACGTATAGGAATTTGTGAGCAGGATCAGTGATATCAACCTCATGTCCTGAACTTTTACTTCTTGAAAGGAGTGCTGAGCTGCCTGAGCGTACACAAGGACAGAAGTTATTCATCTACCGTTTTTTAAAGAAATCCCTGCATGTGCATCTGCGTCCTTCACATATCTCGACAACCATTCGTCTGATCTACTTCAAACTTGAATTATTGTATTATTGGAGACCCGAGGAAGTGTCGGGTCAAGATTCAAGCAGATCAGATCAATGGACGATGCTTTTGTGGTCTTTTTTTTTTTTGCAGTACTAAGCCTTACCTTTGGCTGCCTGTAGGCGGAGGTGCTGTTGTCAGGCAACATCATCGAAGGCAAACATCCAACATTGCATGATAGTGTCTCTTTTTGACAGTGGGCACACGTTCTAGAGTCAAGTTCAAGTCCAGCTAGAAAAAAAACTGCCTTTACCTACAGCTCAGTGCAAACACATTAATACAACACAGCAAACAAGCACCTGCACCAGGTGTCTGGTTTTAGTCTTAACCTCTTGCAATCCAAGCAGTTTCTGGACACGTCTTTATTCACCGTGAGTTCGTTTTTCTTTGCACCTCCATGGAAACAGCACAATGACGGCTAAAAGTAGAGCTTGACACAGTTATAATGCCATAAATAATCATTTTTAAAAAGAAATAAAACACTGAATTTTAGTGATTCTTCATTTTACAAAAAATTGAAGCAACCTTGACTCAGTTCACAGCTATTGCCTAAAAGAAAAAAACAAAAAACAAAGCGACCCCTCATACTATAGACTATACTATATAGATACTATAGCTATTTAACTCGGTCTATTTACGGCGTTACAATCTCTACAAACAAGATATTTGTCACACAATCTCTACACGGCTACTCCACCATCCTGAATGTATCCTCCAACTACTTGCTGACAACTTGCTCCTCTAAATACAGTTTTTGAGCCATGCTGTATTTATTTTATTGATCCAGTAGGTTTTATTTCGCGCTCAGTCTCTCTTGTCATCTCCTCTCCGCTCTGTATAAACACAACCTGCAGTTCACCTGGAAAGAGTTTCTGACTGTTGGTCGCAGCTGAATCAGTCCTGGCTTCTTAGTGATGCTGTGCTGTGCTGACTTTTTTGTTTGTTTGTTTTGCACAGAATTTAGTGGAGTTTTTAGTAGTTTTGTTTTCAGAATAAATGCGTACCAATACCATCGGAAAGCTGGAAGTCTTGAAGTGTTTTTAAAACTGCCTACTGGTTTTGGGGTTGAACAGCACGAATCACAATCATAATTCATGGAACATATTCTCTACCCAAGGACGAAACCTTCCTGTTGGCGCAAAATGCAGAATTAGCTATCAGGCTGCAGCATTTCTAACAGATCCCTGATTTTATATGGTGCAAAGTACGAGGACGCGTTGGACGGTTCTACAAAGAAGCTGGGAGAAAAGAAGGTGTTGTGCTGAGACAGCTAACAGCTGTGAGGAGGGGTTTCGGTGCTTTTGACCTGTGCTGCCAGTTGATATTTGGGATTCATTTCTTGCCACCTGCAGAGCTAACTTTGTGTATACTCTGACTTATCACTTTCATTGCCACTAGCTGCCGTGTCTCAGTGGAATTCAATGTGTCAGCCAGAGGTGACAAGCTAAGACGGGAGTGTGGTAAAAAGTTTTAGAAATTCAAGGACAATTGCCGCATACAAATGTACCTTTAAATATTGTTTGTGAGTGGTTTCCAGCAAGTTTTTCCATTTCTAAGCAACGCCCATAATTAAGCTATCCTTACACCGAATCTGCCTATAAATTAAGGTAATAATTGGAGAGACGTACACTTTTAAAAAAAAATTCTGAATGCTTGATTCGGTGTGGTCAACAGCTGACGCAAGCTGTGGATGTTTTTCAGCCAATCATCTCTGCAGGAAGTGGTCTGGCTATCGCTCCACCAATAAATCACCAGAAGAATGAAGGGCTTCTTAAGTATTTATGTTGTTTTCAAAGCACACAATCTTACCCAGTGAGGAAAATAAAGGAATAAAACATGTGAGCCACAGGAAGGCAGTTAAAAGACATGAAGTGCTGAACAAAAAAATAAAAAGAAATGAATCTTGAGAATGACAGCAAATAAACACAAAGAGAATATAAAAGTTAGATGTTCCCTCTCTGAACACAATAAGAGCAAGAAGTGTTTCAGACAAGGCAACAGAAAAATGCTAAGAAAGTGTTTTTAGAGGGAAACATGATGACAGGACTGAGTGAAAAGGCTATAACAAGCCGAAGAGCTGTACAAAGAAAATTACAGAGAGTGCATCGTCTCTGCACCAGGCAATCCGAACCGCTCTGGTAGAAGTTTTAGGTGTTTATTTCTTTTTGCCCTCCTGACACCAAAGCTCTCTTCAAACTAAGTCCAGTAACTTCTTTAAAGAAAAGCAGTGTGGTGTATTTGAGAGCCCACAGGGCACCTCTCTCTCAGACAAATGATACCCCAAATGAGCCAGACAGTCAGGCTGTAAATGAGTTATACAAATCACAGCTGGAGAGCACATCTGTCTATCTGCTGGTCTTGAGGCTTGGGTGATAATGTGGGTGACTGATCACAGATGTGAGGGCTGCCTTAGGTGCTACTGGGGCTCCAACCAGTACAGACAGGGAGAAGTGGTGCATGAGCCTCTCCTTCAGTTCAGCACACATGAGCAGATGTGGTGAACAGCACTCCCAGCTGCCTGTTGCTATATGCACTACAGCTGGAAGATGTAATTAGGAGAGACACTGTTATCAATTGTACCCTAAGTAACACAGGCAGCACCGGCAAGAGGAGCGGCAGAGAATCAACATTTTAAACTCTTTTGTTCAAGCAAAGCGTACAAGTCACACTTTATGAATATGTTCTTGTGTTTTTTTTGTCCTCTTTGGTCCACAGAACAATGCTATTAAAAAGTAGAACAATCTAAACCGAATTAAATTATTGCAAAGGGCAGTTATTAGTTCAATGTGCTGCAGTAATAAGATTGTGCACAGTCGGAGGTTTTGCATAAAGCTGGCGTAATGTGGTATTTGTTAGATACAATTAAATGTGTAGGAAAAAATCATCAATCATAAATGACATCGTACACCAGCATTCTGACGTGTTGTCATATGCCAAGGTTCTAGAATGTCGTCACATACTAAGATTCTAGAATGTTAGAAAATTCAAGAATATCGTCATGAATGACATCATACAACACGACTGTAGAATGTTGTGAAACACCAAGATTCTAGAATGTGGGAATCTGGAATTTGATCATGAATGACATCACACACCAAGATCCTAGAATGCCGTCATACATCAACATTATAGAATATCATCATATGCCAAGATTCTATGTTATATGATTCTATAATGCTGTTGTAAATGACATCATACACCACGATTTTACAATGTCATAACACGCCAAGATTCTAGAATGAAGAATTCTAGAATGTTGTCATGACTGACATCATACACGAAGATTCTAGAATGTCGTCGTCCATCAACGTTCTACAATGTAGGATTCTAGAATATTGTAATGATCTATATCTAATGTCTTACGCCAAGATTCTAGAATGTAGGAATTTTAGAATTTTGTCATGAATGACATCATACACCAAGTTCCTAGAATGCCGTCATACACCAACATTATAGAATGTCGTCATATGCCAAGTTCTATCATAGGATTCTAGAATGCCGTTATAAATGACATCATACACCAAGATTCTAGAATGTCATCATACTGCAAGATTCTAGAGTGTTGTAAAAATCTGGAATGTCGGCATACAAAATTTTTTTTAGAATATCGTCATGA